CAGCACTTGGATGGGAAAACTCCAGAGACAAATCTGCAAGTTCTTTTGGTGGCTCTCTTTTCTTTATCTCAATAATGAATGAATGCCCCAGCATGGTGTTACGGGGCACAGGGCTGCTGGCATTACCATTTTTCAGAGGAAACATGGTGTTACTGAAAACTCATGGGCATTAAAGACGGCATGGCACTTTTACTGAGGTGCTGGTCAAATTCCAGTTTGGGCAATTACCACTTCTACTTAGAATTCTACCAGCATTTTCTACCTAACCTAACTTCCGCCTGCTTTTCCAATGGGATAGAAAATTCTCCTTTATTTCTGTCCTAACCTGGTATGTGGTTACGCTTCACATTGCTAAACAACTGCCACGTTACAACCCCAGAAGTAGCTGCTTTTCAGTGGGATAGGAAGTGATTCCTATATAATTTGTCAATAGGGTGACCAGATAGCAAGAGTGAAAAATCAGGACACTTCCCTTGTGGGGGGGTGGGGGAGGGAGGGTGTATAGTTGCATATATAAAACAAAGCCCCTAATATTGGGATGGCCCCGACAATATCAGGACACCTGGGCACCCTATCTGTTAAGCACTATGAGATCCTTCAGGACAATGGTGACTACGTAGATGAAACATGCTGTTATGGTTTTAGTTTAGGGTGAGTGCCAAGCCATTAAAACCTGTCCACATTATTCATGCGGGTGGCTCTTTATAAACACAAATTCATCCAATCTGGGGAAGACAAACTTGCTCCCAGGCTAAGGCTTCTATTCATTTTCAACCTGAAACAGATTTTTAATAGCCGCATTCTCACTCTCAACCCTCTTACAAAATGGGCTTCATACGGGAATGGAAAGGCCGACTGATTCTGGTTGTGTCACTATAATCAATCTGTCATCTAAATAAGGCAAGGCAGATACAGTTCCTCTGCCATCTTGCAATGCAAATATACTCCCAAGGTATTATCTGACAATAATGTTAAATTTGTACTAGGTCCACGCAGACTGGTTCAGATTACACATAAACCACTGCCAATTTTATTACCTTATTATTAGCAGCCACTGTCATCAGCCTCCTGGGGGGAAGCACACATCTGGCTAGCATATCCGCTTGCACTTTATATCTTTTATCAGTCATATACCCCCAAATGCACAGAGGGTTTATTGTCTTTTCCGTAGCTCTCACATACTGTGGGGGTCTTATGATTGCACACTGTACATAATGATTTATCACGCAACCTGGCCTCCCAACTGAGATAAATGCAGGCAAAGCACTGCCAAGAGCTTCCGTTTTTTGGCTTTATCCTGACAAAGTGCTGCATCCCTCATCAGGAATATATGACAGAGAGAAACTTGGCTGGGTAGGTCTATATCTGCAAGTACAGGGCCTGATTCAAAGCCCAGAGAAGTCAATTTCCATTACTTCATTGGCCCAGAGTAACGAACAATCCCCATTCACACAGCAAGAGAAAGAAAGGGAAGCTAGTTATACGGTTTCACGTTCTCATTACGTTTCAAGATAAGCTGCAGAAAAGAGCAATCCATCAAAGAAAAGAAAACCTTGAGCTGCATTGTGTTAGCTCAGTTTGTAGCCTAAATAAATTCTTCTCATAATATCCCCCCCAGCTCCTGCACTGCCTAAAGAATTTTCCCTACTAATCTTTCTGTTTTGTTTTTGTCTTTTTATACTCTGGGTCCACTTATCCTTTATGCACATTGGAAAGCATAATCCCAACTATACATATAAAATGATGGGGTCTAAATTAGCTGTTACCACTCAAGGAAGAGATCTTGGAGTCATTGTGGATAGTTCTCTGAAAACATCCACTCAATGTGCAGCGGCAGTTAAAAAAGCTAACAGAATGCTGGGAATAATTAAGCAAGAGATAGATAATAGGACAGAAAATATCATGTTGCTGCTGTATAAATCCATGGTACGTCCATATCTTGAATACTGTGTGCAGATGTGGTCTCCCCATCTCAAAAAAGATATATTGGAATTGGAAAAGATTCAGAAAAGGGCAACAAAAATTATTAGGGGTATGGAACGGTTTCCATATGGGGAGAGATTAATAAGACTGGGACTTTTCAGCTTGGAAAAGAGATGGCTAAGGGGAGATATTATTAGGTCTATAAAATCATGACTTGTGTAGAGAAAGTAGATAAGAAAGTGTTGTTTACTACTTCTCATAACACAAGAACTAGGGGCCACTAAATGAAATTAATACGCAGCAGGTTTAAAACAAATAAAAGGAAGTATTTCTTCACATAATGCACAACCTGTGGAACTCCTTGCCAGAGGATGTTGTGAAGGCCAAGACTATAACAGGGTTCAAAAAAGAACTAGACAAATTAATGGAGGATAAGTCCATCAATGGCTATTAGCCAGGATAGGCAGGGATGGTGTCCCTATTCTCTGTTTGCCAGAAGCTGGGAATGAGCGACAGGGGATGGATCACTTGATGATGACCTGTTCTGTTCATTCCCTCTGGGGCACCTGGTATTAGCCACTGTCAGAAGACACGAGACTGGGCTAGATGGACCTTTGGTCTGACCCAGTAGGGCCGTTCTTATGTTCTTTACATCACATGCATGTGTCTTCTAGTCCAGAAACCCTTCAGTCAAAATACTATGAAAATAGGCACCTTAGAAACATGAATAATTAATAATAAACTGCCTAGAAAAGCTAGATAGGGTTGGGTGAATTGGCTCAGATACAAGACTCACCTCCCAATCTTTATGCAAAACTCACGTTGAAACTTTGTCAAAGGTCTCAGAAGTTCATTTAATTTATTCCCCTTTTTTACATGCCACCTCTGTACTTACAGGTCCCAGCTGTACTAGAAGTGGAAATGATAGCACGCCAGAGATCTCCAGAGCTTCTAGAAATCAGGAATGAGAGAATAACAGGAGATGGACCAGAGTTGGAGTCATTATCCAAATCATTCTTTGTCCTAAAAACTTGAGGCTCAGTTAAAATAGTGTAGGAATCTGTACCACATCGTTTTGTAAAACCTAAAGCAAAATCACCCTGAAGGAAGAATCCAGTAGAATGTAATAGGATGAACGTAATAGTGCTCTATAGAAACTACTCTTAAATCCTATCTAAAATTTTTTTTTTTTTAAAGAATGAGATACTTTTCACCATTTTTTAAATCCACCCTATGGAATCCATTTTCTATTGATTTCTATCCCTGCTATAGAATTCTGTGGGATACTTTGAACATTCTATAGAAAGGTTATCATGCTCTTTCACATTCCATAGAGGTGTTTTTCCCCTCTTTAATCACAAGAGAATGAGAGAGCCTGTCCTAACTGGAAACAGAAAGTACCAAAAATCATGTGAGAAATTCTGTATCCATTAGATTCCAAGCCCAATTTCTAAAACAAAGTAGCATATGAACTAAACCTAGGAAACATTTGAAGTTTGCACTTCACTCACACATTTGTAACAAGGAGCAAATTTTATTTAAAAGCAGCATGTATTAGCTACACTCCATCGTGCATCTGTTGCCCACTGAGAATATCAACACTCTCAACTTAACGTTTGCAGATTTATAATACTCTTCATTTGTAAAACTTCTTTAGATGACCAGAAAGATTTTACAATAAAAAACAAACACTAAAACCAAAAGCCCACCAAATTTTCTGCAGCCTGACATGATTAATGTATTTGTACTGCATACACAATAATGTTTTCCATTTGGCTTTGCACCATTTTGTATAATTTTTCAACGCTGTTATGTGCCTTTGCAGAAACAGGAGAGAAGAGCTGCTCATTAGTCCAGCATCTATGCACATTTTAGCTGTTAGAAAAGCATTTACCTTTCTGACCTATAATTCTAAGGGCATTTTAAAGATGGCTCCTTATTCTGAGCTAGTATGATTGCAGGTGTACATCAGCTAAGAGAGTCCCCCATGGTTCCAAAAGCCTTGATGTCCTGTTCCTCTATTCACTTTAATAATGGGTTCCTTTTCTTTGATTATACGCTAGTAACTATTTGAAGGAAATCTCTCCACAGGGCCTTGTTCCATCCTTTTCAAAGCCTTGTCCATCAAAACTGCCAAAGCTTCCACATTTCAGACACAGCATGAGAAAGCCCCGCCTATAGCAACTTTCACTTGCAAGTTATGCATGATGCAGCAGAATTACATCGTGGCTTATAAAGGACTGGATTGCTCAGAGGATTGGACCATTCAAGACACGGATAACTGGCTACAAAGCCTTCCAACGCAAGGTCACTGGTTCAAAGGCAGCCCAGAAATAACCAAAAACTCCTCACAATTGATATCTGTTTCGTGACTTAATCAAAGGTGTTTAGTGGTTTCAGGCTAACTCTCAGTGAACAAGCATCCACAAAACCACTTCCATGACTACCTCTAGTTGGCACAGCAGAGAAGCCAAGCGCTATATTTGAATGAGTTATGGAAACTGAGCTACCCTCTCATTCCTAGAGGCGGTCAGGATAGAGTCATATAGAAGGGACAGCGTGGGGAAGCTTGCACCACTGTTGTACCTGCTAGGTGAATGAATAAAGGACTTCAGTTTCCTGGGTTATCAACTGACACCTTTCATGAGCACAGTATTCACAATAAATATCTGAAAACTAAACTAAGGAGGAAATGGCTTAGTGGGATACTTTGAAAGGCACTATTTTGCCACTTCCACCTGGACATTGCTTGGAAATTATAGGAAAGTCCTATCTGCAAGTGAAAATCTGTTTGTAAAGGTTTCATCTGGGGAATTTTATAAGGTGAGGCAGTATGGTCTAACGAATAAGGCATAGGACAGGGAGTCAGGAGTCCTGCGTTCTATTTCTGTCTCTGCTATTGATCTCATGTGTGACCTTGGACCAGCCACTCCACCTTTCTGTGCCTCTGTTTCCCCTCCAGCCCTTTGTCTGTCATGTTATTTAGATGGTAAGTTCTTTGAGGCAGCGACTGCCTCTCACTATGTATTTGTACAGCACCCAGCACTACTACAATTCAAAGAATAATAACGACTTACCATCCATATCAAGACGCTGCATGATAATCGCCAGTTCTACCTCACTAGGCATGTATCCCAAAGAACGCATAGCCATGCCCAGCTCCTGCTTGGAGATAAAGCCATTCCCGTCCCTGTCCAGTACCCGAAAGGCTTCACGGATTTCTGCAATAATGAAGAAAAGAAGAAGGGTAAAATAGTATCATGGTGCATTAACCTCTCCATGCAAAGAATACACATCTCTCTTTATTAGATCAATTAGATGTTTGTTAATGTTCCAGTAATAGTAACCAGGATATATAGATAGATAAAAAAAATCTCCTGGTTACTATTACTGTCATATATATATTATGCCAGAAAACTTGAGGGTCGTCTGTGTGTATATATACACACAGACGACCCTCAAGTTTTCAGGCATAAGACAACCACTAGGAATCCAAAAGTAATTTGTCCTTAGGCAAACTATTGCACAAATATTTATCTGAGGTGTTTCTAAATCTCTCTGCAGCATCTGCTGTTGAGCTGTGTGTGAAATGGGATGGACTGATCTGGGTGGATTGTTCTGATCTAGTATGGTTATTCCTATGTTTCTACAATTATAATCATCACACCAACCCTGGGATACTATAGACTATTTCATCAAATAGACTCAGAATGCTTTTCAGAAAAAGTAACGAATTAAGCCTGTCAGCACACTTGTAGGACAGATAAGTTTTGTCCATCATACAAGGAGGGTAATAAAACCATGACCTTGTTGCAGGGTAAGAGAACCTAGGCACACTCCCCTGCTACATGCAGATTCATATAACCTAAGTATGAACCTCTAATGAGGTCACCCACATCACCACATCAGGACAACGTCTCTCCACTATTAAACGAAGTCACACCAATCTAAATAGTAGATTTTCACCTACAGCCAGTAACATGTTTGGCCCAAAAAACTGCTTTTGGAAGTTGAGTCTCTCTCATAGAAGACTCTTATCTCCCAAATGAAGCCCTAAATACTTATTTTCTTTCTTGTCTGATAAATCATGATGTATACCTTTTAAACCACCTCCAGGCAATTTCCACCCCCCACTACTTTTCATGGCATTCCTCTAATTTATAACTGTTTTACTGCTATAAGCAGCCACAGATCTATAAAAATGCTGTGAGAACCAGAGAAATCATCCATCATTCTTCCCAACCCTGGCTCAGTTTGACATCTGATATTGTTTTTGTTTTGAATCTGACATTCACACCTCAAGCCTTTCATAGCCGCTTTAAACTCCATACTGCTCAGTCATTCCCTATCCTGGAGTGTCCATGTTCTGCCAATGTGTTGAGGGCACTGATGGTTATCCAAGTTTGACGTACTTCAGGGCTTTCTTAACATTGAAGTTTCGCCATCAAATTCCTCAGGTGAAGTGGTCATGGCTGCTTAAAATACAGGACATTTTGGTTCATGTCAATTCTGGAGTCTCAGCCAGCTGGGAAGCCTTTCTACTTTAAGGGATTTGGGGTTGTGGGGTTTGTTTTGTTTTGTTAAATAGGTTTATCTTTTTGACATGCATTTGGAAAGAAAACATAGGATGTTTTATTAAACACCTTTCAGGGAGATAATCAGCTATTAACAGGTTCAGTAATCTCACATCAGTCAGCTCTTTATAATCTCTGCTAGGATACGAACACATTCCTTATTTAACATGTCATCAGTTATGTTTATCTTACTTGTGCATTGTTTACAAGGATGTTGACTGATCATTTTCAGTTTACCCAGGGCCATAATGTACCTTTCAGTAGTAAAACCTACAAGAAGTCAGAGGACAAAGCCCTGGCTGGGATGATTTAACTGGGAATTGGTCCTGCTTCGAGCGGGGGGTTGGACTAGATGACCTTCTGGGGTCCCTTCCAACCCTGATATTCTATGATTCTATGACTCTGGGAAACTCTGTCAAGTGAACCACAGATTTTCTGATAAATATTCTCCTGAAGGGGGATCATAGAATATCAGAGTTGGAAGGGACCTCAGGAGATCATCTGGTCCAATCCCCTGCTCAAAACAGGCACAATTCCCAATTTTTCCCCCCCCTCAGATGGCCCCCTCAGGGATTGAACTCACAACCATGGGTTTAGCAGGCCAATGCTCAAACCACTGAGCTATCCCTCCCCCCAAAAATGTTTTAGAATATTAGGGTTGGAAGGGACCTCAGGAGGTCATCTAGTCCAACCCCCTGCTCAAAGCAGGACCAATCCCCAATTTTTGCCCCATATCCCTAAATGGCCCCCTCAAGGATTGCACTCACAACCCTGGGTTTAGCAGGCCAATGCTCAAACCACTGAGCTATCTCCCCCCTCCAAAAGGCATGAAACGATTGTTGGCCATTGCTTTCACAGAGGGAGGGGGGAGTAAGGGGTAGGCTGGCAGCAGACAGTGCAGTACGACTGCTAGCCGTCATCTCCTGGGTGCTCACCAGCAGACATGATGATGATTCAGGGAACCCCAGAGGAGCCCAGTGCCCACTCCCATAATAAGAGGCATGGAGCAGAAGTCAATATTGCTAGTACCCATACTATATTCAGCCACAGGGGTCCCAGAGGGAGCATTCCAAGGTGGATGGCAACATGCTACTTCCAACTGCACAAGGTAGGATTCTGAAGATTACTGGGAAAGTAGGAACATGTCTTAGAGGTGAGTTCCCCTCATCTGCTTTCACTGCCCAATCTCCATCCACTTTGCTCCCCTTTGCCCAAGGAGCTGGGGATGTGCAATGAGCCACTTATCTGCAGAGATTTTTTTTTGTAGTATAACTGTCTCCTGCAGAACTTACTGATCATATTGCATGGCTGGTGCCTCTGTGGCCTTTGCTTTTACAAAGTTAATAAAAAGTATATACTTAAACAGATAAAAAGGGGGCTGGGGGCTGGTTGGAAAATAGGGCTCTTTTCCCTGCAGAAAATTTCATCTTCACCAAAAACTGAAAAACAAAATATTTGTAAAATACTGTTGCAGGGCCTCATGCTCCCATTCTCCCAGAGACTGGACTCCCTGGTCAGACTACATTTCCCATGATCCACCATGATTCCCCCAGGGGAGGAGAGGTTGTATACCATGTGAGTTCCGTGGCCCCAGTGCATCATGGCAGATGAAAACCAGTTGGGGAGCCCAGTCCACAGAGGATAATGTGGACCAAGGGCACCAAACAACAACTCCTATGAGGTATCATGGCAGCATGTCTGATTCAAGATATTTTGGTTTCAGCTGAAAAATTAAATTTTCATTTTCAGGTGTTTGGTTTTCAATTCAAAATTCAATTTTCTGCCATAAAACAGTTTCATCGGAAAATTTTCAACCAGCCCAAGCTGGCTTGGGCACTAGCCTAGGACTCAGGAGATCAATATTCCATTCCCTCCTTCACCACAGACTCCCTGAGTAACCTTGGGCAAGTGTCTTACTTTCTTGTGCCTCAGTTCCCCATCTGGCTGGTGGGAATACTAGTGCTCTGCAGGGAATCAGTTACCATAATAATGGATTTTCCATCCAAGGAAGAGCTGATGATATCCTAGTTCATAGTGGCATGCTGCAGTGACTTAATTATTTTCTAATAATTCTTTTAAAGCCCAAAGACAGCTTCTAAATCACAATAAATCAAAGTTCACACATACACCACTGTTGCTTTGACAAAATCTATTGTGCATTTATCATTTCACTATAAATATGCTATCTTATACTACAGAATAATTCCATGTTTGCTTCGTTGGTTTTTAAATCGGCTTTTATAGGTCACCCATGTAAGGCCTGATCCAAAACCCACTGAAGTCAAAGGAAAGGTTCCTGTTAATTTCAGTGGGCACTGGATCAGACCCATAACAACTATATTTTCAGTTCCTACCGGCATTAACTATGGCCTCTTTATACATAAGTGAAAGATAGATGCTACCTTGTATCCACCTTCACTCCTTGCACTGGAATCACAATAATGTAAAGCGATGACGAGTCTGTTCAAATCAAGAACAGCTGGAAGTTTCAGTACATAATGCCTGTGGAGTAGCAATGAATCCCATTAGCCACTACCATCTCAAGTGATAGCTATTTTCATATGTCGGGCTGAAAGCTGAAGCGCAATAAATATTACAGTGGAATCCATCCATTTAAAAAATAATCTTTTGACGTCTTAAAAAGAAGGAATCAGAACTACAAATATGGTAGGGAATTAAAAATGTTTTTTAAAGGAAAATATCAGGCGTTAACTTCAGAAAACTTTACAAGCTGCAATGCGAAAGCACTTAAATGTGTGAATAATCTATATTTATATATTGACTTCAATGTAGGATTTCTTAATCCCAACATATGGCAGGTTTCATTGATTTCATTGGGAGTACTCATATGCTTAAGTGCTTTGCTGGATCAGGGTCAGAATCCTGACATAAAATTCAGTTCAAGCCCTGTTCCACAGCCTTCAGAAAAATAAACTGTTAACCAAGTCTGAAACATCAACTTCTGACCCCAAATGTACCTATTTGCACTCATGTCTATAAACAGCACTTCCTAGTGTAAATCTATTTGAGGAGCTATGAATAGGTTGTACTCAAAGTCCAAAAAGCAGCTACTACCTCAGCAAGTGCCTCCTTTGTATACTTGTATGTAACTCCACCTCTTAAACGTTTTTTTCTTTGTAGCACTCTTTGATTCTGCTCTCCAACAGACTCCGTGCTACTGTTCGACACATCACCTAACTTAAAGGTCACATGGCTCTGGTTCCTTTTCAGGTATAGTCAAGCCAACTCTATTAGCTAACGGGTACAAAACCACAGGTCCCAAACTGTGGTCTCTGAACCTGTGGATCACATGGTTCTGGCTCCCCCTTTTTGTTACCAGCCGTTAAATGTCATTAGCAGAAGCTAAAAATACATCAGTATTTTCCTAATATCACTTTTCCAAGTGATCATGGTGGTTGCAATGACGACTGATGCTGCTGGATCACAAGTGGGACAGGAGGTGCCCATGAAGCAATCACTCAGGAAAGAAGCTGTCCACTATGAAAAGTTTGAGAACTCCTTTATTTAGACGAGTGGTTTTCAACTTTTTTTCATGTGCAGAACCCTAAAAAATTTAAAATTGAAGTGCCAGACCCCTTTGGAAATCTTAGGCACAGTCTGCAGACTCCCTGAGGTCGCAGACCACC